TAGGCAAAATGTTTGCCATATCAATTGGGTATCAAATAGTTTTCAATATAATAATTTTAAAACATGATTTTCCTTAATTGATTTGAGAATGTTTATATTTAGATTACACCAATACTTTAATCGCTAATATACAAGAATAGGTCTTATTAAAGACGTAGTAAAACTTATTAGGCTAAGTAATTGACAGACAATGTCAGACAATAATGACTGCTTTTATATTATTTTACACCCTTATTAGTCATTATTATTAGATCATTATTAGTCAATGACACAGACACTGGTGCCATAAGGTACGATTTTAAATCGTCATCGTTTATTCAAAATATCACAGTTTTAATAATTAAAGATCGTGTCCCACACAAAAAAAAAACAGACTTCAATTATGACAAAATTTGTTATTTTGGTTTATATATGAAACTACTAAACCGATTTTGATAAAATTTCTATGAGATCAATCTCTAAGTTACCTTTAAAAAAAAAGATATTTCCAAAACGGTTTAGAACTGATGGACATAAGAGGTAACAAACGTAAAAAAGAAACCGAATTGAGAACCACCTTCTTTCTAAAATCGTTTGAAAATAGAAGCTTTTTATTAGTTTGTTTTGCTAGTCTCAAACATGACCTACGAAACTAAGAGTAGTAAGCTATGATCTTGCATCTTTAGCTATATGAGAAAGCTTCAAGTGACTCAATGAATAATGAAAAGTAAAATGTGCTCGAAGTTTCTCTTGCGTGATAAAATTTTAAACGAGTATTCAATCCATTAACGAACTAAATTGTTTTAAATTTATTATATACCATTAAGCTATTTTCGTATTATTTCTAAAACTCGTACACATACTTGTCAAACAGAGCATTTGGGTAGGTATGTCTCAATTGATATATTGAAAGAAATATATTTTTAAACAATTTTTTTAGAAATCGCTACAAACAGTTGCTTTCAATTAATAAGAGAAACATCAGAATAATAGATCATTTAGAAATAAAAATAACTTGCATAACTTCGGTATATAGAAATTTTAAAGCAATTATAATTTTATGCAAGAGTTTCGATATAAAACTAAACATGCTATTTTAATTTTGCAAACGGTACGCTGTCATAAAAAAATTAAGAGTATTAAAAATTTAAAAGATATTGTAGCTCGACATTGTTTCGGGCATTCATATTAAAGTTGAATAGCTCTCAACCAGTTCCTCTCTTCACACCGGATTCTGACAAAGCGGGATTACAATCAGCCTCAGTCAAGGAGGCTCGAAGCCCCAAGAGACTGAAGTTGCGATCGTAACACCCCAAAGAATTATGAATAGGTATATATATCCATAAAGTAAAATATTTTAAGCTGTCAATATAACAGAAGTAATGCTTTTAGCTTCTGTGTAAGTAGACAGAAATTGTTAAATATAAATTAATTCAATTTAAGACTTTCCACTATTCTGTAATAGATATGTACTTAATTTGTGTTGCAAAAAAGTTAAAATTTATTTCAACTATAGGTACAGTTAGTAACAAATAGAGTACCTACTAGTCTAGATTTTTTATATGAATGATAATGGAATGATAACCCCGCCTGCGCTAACGGTGTACGCTGGCGGGGCACCAGTGAGGGATGATAGGCGAGAATGAAACAGGCCAGTTAGTTCATCGTGACGAATTCAATAATAACCTACTAGTCTAGTTAACATCAATAATTTATATTAATGAGACATATGAATAGGATAAGTCTCATTAGAAACTATAAGTGATATACATACGTATAGGTCACTGTAAATCATTCATCATGGACTGTATTAACATTTATTTTTTATAAGTTTATTTAATTTGAACTGTTTTTGTTTCTTTTTGTCAATACTTATTTCCTTAAGATTATAATGTGTTTCAATTTGTATTATTTGTCAAATTTTCTCTCTATCATCTGCTAGTTCGTATGCTTATTTGCCACATCCACGTTGTATGAAAAATATTATTTTGTTATATGTTTAGTTTAAGTTACTACGTATATTTACGTAAGGAATACGAGAAGAATATGATGTTTATAAATGGTTATGTTTATACTCGTATGTAATATGGTCATTTTACGTATGCATAAGAACGCCCGGGCTTTCAACAAACCTCACCACGCGACACCTGCTTTTATAAAATATTTCTTCTCGTTCGTTTACCTATTTCCACCATGACACACTTCTCGCTATATAAATTCTATTTTTGCATTAGTATTCGACGTTCACCCCACCCATGAATGTATTCATATCTGTCTTTTGCTTTTTGTGCTGTTATTTGGAAACACAAAAATAGTATTAGAGATAGTTTTCATTTATATGAAAATATTTAATACTCGTACTATTTTTGCAATATTTATAACGTGCATGGTTTTCAATTTAGTTTAATGTTAAGAAAATGTATTACAATCTTATGTTAGCGTTAGGTACTATCTAATTTTACTGAATTATATAGTAAATGAATATCTACGTAATCGACATCGTAGATAATTATTTATTATTGTTTATTGTAGCCTTTATTCAGATCAACTTAGCCTAATAAACACTGCTTTAAAACAAACATAAAATTTTAAAAAACCTAAAAAACAAAATAACTTATTTTACTAATTGTTTCTTGTTTATTTTCTGTAGATTTTTTCCAATCGGCAAAGGCCTCCTCAAACTATTTCTATTCTCGTCTGTCTAAAGCCACTCTGTCCCACGTTACTGTAGTCTCTTCCCTGATATAATCATCCAATCTTGTGTGGTGTCCACCTCTTTTCCTTTTGCATTCTCTGGGATACCACCTTGTCACTTTCTTACTCCGTAATTAATAAATTTTTTAATTAATTATCATTTTATAAAAAAGTAAAAAGAAATACTATTTATTATTAAGAGAAATATATTAGTTATCCAGTAAGAAAACGTTAAATAGTAAAAAAAATATTTATTCTTTACTTACACTTATTTACATAATGATTATTTATATAATGATTATTAAACTGCATGACCCAAAGTGTGCACTTGGTACCAGTAGTAATTTTTGTATATTAAGTAATTAGAAATAAATATACCTATGTAAATTCAATAGATAGTATTTGCATGCCATTTGATCTGGCGAAGCATTATGGACATCTTGTAAACTTGACAAATGCAACATCTTATTTACGATATTTCTGGCAAATAAATTTCATTTAAATAGAAAATTAGTTAATAATCTTTTATATAACAAAAACCTATACCCAGGATGGTGATCAATTATATATTTACGTGTAAGTTGTTACCAAATGCTGTTACTCGGTTCACGGTGGCACAGATGAAACTTCAGTTAGGAGACTCAATCGATACACCGAGTGCACAGCGTGCACACTTAATTGCTAAATTTTGCCAACGATCTAACGCCGAAGTTAGGTTTACATTGACGTAAAGGCGTTTAATGACGATGTTACCAGTTCATTAAGTCGGCAGAGTGAGGCATTTTGTTATCAACACGTCTCTGAAATGCTAATTTGTTCCTGTACACTCAATATCAAGCTGTGTCAGTGAGCCGCTTTTTCCCGCCACGCCTCGCATGCGAAGGGTAAACACCATCGCTTGTTTATGTTGATCCTCTAAAATTGGCCCTTTTCGAAGGCCTGCTATTGTGAAAAGCAAAGCATTGGTGCAAGGCCGAAATGGGTCACTGTTTACCATAAAAATTTTTACAGCCTACTACTAAAAAGAGTTTCTTTATTCATTCCTTCTCTACGCCTCTACGATTTCCCCGCAAACGCTTATTGTCCAATTTGATTTTATGCAAATTGTAAGGATTTAATATTAAACCTCTCCTATTACATTTTGTATACAAATATAATGGTTGTATTAGACATTTATAACTATTGTTTATTAATATACCTCATTACAGTACTACAAGTAGTAAACGTTTGTTTGTACTGACAATTCAATTTATACAAAATTTAAAACCGCCTAAATTACTTTTGATCGGTTAAAATTATGATAAATATACATTTTATTATACACTATTTTTTTTTAACAAAGACATGTACACAATTAAGTTATAATCATAATGTTAAATAAGGGGCCTCGAAATTAGGATTTAGGCAATTACACGTATAAATACAGTTAAAAACAAAAGTAATGATATATTATTTAGTTACTTAAATTTGTTGTAAATAATCAGCTATAATATTCTATAATAATAATTACCAGTTCTTATCTGTTTTATTCGTCTGAATGGGATAAAAAGTGGCCAACTCTTCTCCTTCATGATAATTGCTTAAGCCAATACGGTGTCAAGAGGTGACAAACAAATTCACTTTTACATTAATAATATTAGAAAGGAAGTAAGGTTTTCATTCAACAGTATAAATAAAACAATTTGCTTATTTTATATAAAAACTTCAACTTCTTAGAAATTCAATTAAAAATTATACAGTCATTTCATTGAACGCTTGATAACGATTCCTCAGCTTTAAGCCGACATCTCTGGCGACTATAAACTGCTACAAATACGTATAAAATTTAAACTGGGACGGCACCCTCGTCAAATTATAAAGGGAGATTAACCCTAAACACTTGCCGCCGCTTTACACTTTATTACTTTTAGTTTGCTTTTATGTGGACAATAAATAGCGGCATCCAATGTTTTAACGCGACGATGTAGTGTTGAGAAATAAACTTTTCAAAGATATTGAATAGTCGTTTAGATAACAACATAATTTTTCCAATAAAAATTCGTTACTGCGCCTGTCCAAATCCCCCGCGAGATATAACCTCTCCCATGAGGATGTCACCATAATCTCTAAGCTTGGCAGGAGATCACAGCGTTAGATATATCGCTTCTGTACATTTTATATTTCCAAGACATTAAATCGTTAATTCAACAATAATAAAATCATTTAAATATTTATTAGACAACAATTTAATATTAATATAGCCGTACATCTCAATTGCAAAGGGTCCAATTGCTGTTTTACTGATATTCGAGTGATAACATTGACATTTGAATTTATTTTGGTTTCAGGCAAGCCTATTACAGCATCGTAGCTACTTGTAGACTGAAGACAAGAAAACAGCAGTAGCAGGTATAATTTAATTTATTGCACTTATAATACAATGATAGCTTTTTATGAGTTATAAAATAATCCGGCGGCTAGCGCTCGGCGTACAGTAGCTTAGATAGATTATGAGATTTCTATTTTCGTATTTTATAGGTACGTAATAACTACTAGAGGATAACTTCGCTTGATTCGCACAAGTCCGTTGTACAAGGGCTGCTTATCAACTTTTGTTACTTCTCCTCCCCTGCCTATTTCAGCGCGTCTATAAATTTTATCACTTGATTTTTAACTTGTCACTGCGATTTTTGCTTTCCAACGCAAGATACGTTTTAAGACAGTATGAATTGATTTCGTTTCTCTTGAGAATATGCTCATACTCTATTTGTTTTAGAAATATTTACTAGTTAACTGTAGACAAGTTGAAAAAAAAATTTAGTTGAAATTTGCCCAAGTATATGTACATTCGGTCACTTATTCAATCTAAGACTTGCCAACACTGCGTCTAGCACTCAGTTCACAATTACCGTTCAATATATTTGGAGTCAGTGTTATCATCATCATATTAGTCGTTAACTGTCTACAACTGAACATAGGCCTTTCTTTTGGCAGGTTTTGCCAGTAGTTGCCACACTTGGTACTTGGCAACCGCAATTACGCTTTGGTAATGTTTTAAAAAGCACACCGCTGCCCATCTCGAATATTAAATTCTCTTAGTCGCCTCTTATTTATGTTTATTACTTATAAATACATAATACAAATTTAATTAAGTTTATGTAAATAATACGAATTAGTTTATTTAGTATTTGGCACCAACACTATTGACGCCTCACTCAAACCAATATTAAAAATGTTTAAATACTTAAAATAATAGTAAAAATATTTGGCATACAATATTTTTTTTACCAACTTACTTACTTAACTTACTTTTTTTGCCTATAGAATACAAATTATTTTGTTTAATGCCGTTTAAAAATCAATTAAATCTTTAAGATATTTGATTGAGAAAGCGTGTTTCAAATCCTTTATCGATATTTTTATTTTATGCGGGAAACCTAATTTTACTCAACTGACCGTAAAATTACTAATAAACTTTAAACAGATTTTATTTTAGATTCATTAAGCATTACTTGCTCTATCTTGCTGAGTGGAAGTATAAGATAAACACATAGTTGTAAAATCATGTGAATCTTTATTTTAATATACATAGGCTTTAGTTTATTTATACCATTCCCTATCCTATCAAACAGTATTAACAGGCTTTCATTACAGGTCACTTGTATCTAGGTCATACCATACTGCAGTCTCAGTTTACCAGTCTATTGTTGAATCAATATGTTAACAATGCCTATTGAATTCATACGTGCATACACAACCATATTTCATGAGTTCCTCTATTTGCATATGTACCTGGTATTTTGTTGCAATTGTACTTGTTAATTATGAAACTAAATAATTATAGTTTTCATCTAGGAAGATCCGTCAAAAATTTAACGGATATTTCTGTATATCGTTCATCATTTTACGTGCAGCTCACTAAGAGACTGCTGACTTATCTACTTCTTTTTGTTCTATTTTACTCTTCACTAATCTTTTAAACAGTATGCAGTACTCGCACCTATTAATAAGTCTAGGTCTTCCTCATAACTACATCTTTCTACTTTCACTATTATATTAGAAAACTTTTACAACCATAATCATCATCCAAGATGACATGACCCGTAATCAAAATATGTTACGATAATAATGGATTATTAGATATATTTCTGAAGTGATAAATAAACGTAGAAAAGAGAAATGAAGATATAATATGGGAGCACTCGCAACAATTATTTGTTTAAATATTGACCATCTAAGATGGAATATTAAGTATATTTTCAGATGAAGAGCAATGATGGAACAATTATGGTTAAGACTATTATATACATATAATTTTAAGCTATAATCATATTGATCGCATTAAAAATTATGGGCATTTGTAAACTTGAACGAGAATATTATTTCTGTTTACACTGCACATATTATTACAACAATAACTTCTTATATAATTCACGAGTTGATTCCGAAGGGTATTTGAATATAAAGTACAATTTTACTTTTATCGCGTTTTGATAAGTTATCTTAGATCGGTGGTAAAGTTCAAAGCGTGAATGTAGATGAATTATATCTACCAATTTAGAGCGAACAATGCGTGCATTGTTTCGTGGTGCGATTTATTTGCAGGTCACTTTCACTAAGAAACGAAAGTGTCTTTAGAGCGGACAATTCGAAAACAACGCGATCCAACCGAAGCTTTTGCTATAGCATTTTAAACGAACTTTTTGCATTTTACTATTTTTTGCTAACAAAATAATGATCATAAATAATTCTACTGATATTGTAACCTTGTTATAATGTGGTAGAACATTAATATGTATAGTTGCATTTCTAACAGGCGTACTACCAGAATATAACCGCAACTTACCTGTGATCCCACGTTAGTATTAATTGATACATTTCATATTCCGGTACGCGTAATGGAAGTCTCGCCTTGCCAGCCCTACTGTTCTACCCCAAGTAGGGGGCTCTTCGTGGAAATTCTTCGTTTATTATTCACAGTGAATTACTCGAGTTCTACATTTTTTGCCCCAAAGGAGCTCTCATGTCCTTTTATTTATTCAACACGACTCCTTATTTAAGGTATCTAATAATTCCTGCACATTCATACCTTAAACGATGGTGATATATAGTTATAGATGTATTATTGCTATAATTAAACATTTGTTTATGGATAAGGAAGAAAGAATTAATGTTTTTGTTAAATAACTCACTGTGGGTTACAAAGTTACTTCATTTTATTAAGTACCTAATATTTATGTACATGAAAGAACTTAAGTAGATATATTAACATTTTCTATAGCCCTACTAATGTTCTACGAATGTTATTTATTACTTAGAAATACACTTCAGTGAATTTATGTGGTTAGATTCCCCCATATCTTACTATCATTAATTAGAATAAGATTCCATTCTGTGTTAATTCTACTAAAAGGTATCTGTATCTGAAGTGTCATGAGAATTGTTGGAAATTTTCCAAGTCCACATTCTGTTAAATTTTTAATAGTTTTCAACTGATTGCAAAAAAAGGTCTTTCATGTTTGTCATTAAGGTTTTTTGTGTATGTTACGCAATCTATTCTCTGATTCTGCACTAATTTTCGTGATATTTTTATAATCTTTTATGAATGTAACAATGTATACACCCTATTGTATCTATTTCAAATTATTTTACTACTGAAATTTAAAATTTTATTCAATTGCAAGTTATTATATTTTAAACCTTCATATTTTCACACATATAAAAATTGCCTAAACATTGTAATTGTTACCTACCTACCATATATATTCTAGTTATTTAAAAATAATACGAGTCTTAAATACTCACCCCAATAAAATTATCCATAATTTAGTTATATTAAACAGAACAGTCTTATTCAATTACGACTTTATCATCTTTGAAAACAAAGATGATAAAATCTGTTTTAGAAAAAATAAAAGTATTAGCAAGAATGGAATATCTTGTTTCAGGAGGGAAAGTGTTTCGTTGATATTACGTAGTAAATATAACTTATTATTTTTTAAAGGTCTTTGAATATGTTTTATTATAATTATACTAACCCGTGTATTGGTTTGGACATGTACGACATTAAAAAGTGCATCTTTAATATGTAAACAATAGATTCTTATAGTGCCTATGATACTTAAGTATAATGATATTATCTATCTACAGAGATATATTTTCCACAAAGGCAATCCGTCTACAGGTGTATTGCGAAATGCATTCAAGTACCGGTATCTAGCTTATTACATACGGTTTTGTATTTTGTGTGCGATGCTGCATCCGGCCAAGCGCCGCGTCTGTGGCTGGATTCTCGTAAAAAATAAAGCGTTCAAATATCTTTAAAGTCGAGGAGTCTTTTGTTCATTATCGATTGGCAAATCAATTGATAAGTAATTAACTCCCTGTTTTTAGGACTTCACCTATTTTTAGGACGATGATTTCTTTTAGACTCGGAATAATATTGGTATTTAAATTTTAACCGGCGTACATGCATGGAAAATTATGGAAAAATAGATAGATTTTTATTATGAGACAATACGATCATAATTGTCCTTTACTTTTTAATGAATTGTTTGTGTGTAAACTAAAAACAGTAAATAAAAATGTTATTTTAATTTTTAATTATTTAGGTACCACTTGATCGACATTAAACGCACAGTTACATAGACTATAATGTAACATTTTGTGTATAATTTAATAATTCAGTCATTCATTCATTCAATCATTAATTCAGTCGATCATACATTATTCATTCGATCATTCCCCGCCCGGTCGAATACCCCGAGGCTATGGTGTACAGTGTAAAACTATGTTGACTAACAGTCAATAACATTTTCGTAATAAATTCATATGTACCTTTATAAGTAAGCAATTTAAGATCATGTTTTACAAAAATAATCAACTTCACTTGTGGCAAAACTAGTTTTTTTTATTTAAAAACTAAACTTCTGAACCGATTTTGATAAAATTTCTGTGAGACCAGTTTTTATTTATAATTTAATATACTTTTTTAATGTAATATAATTTTCTAAATTTATATAATAAACGGTATAAAAAAATACAATCGGATAAAGAACCTCTTTTTTTTTAATTAGGTTGAACACACTTTTACTACTTCCAAAGATTTTTAGACTTGTTTAACAATAACTAATCTTCATATAATATTATTGAAAACCTACAAGCAAGACCTACAGGTTTAAGTAACTATATCTGCGAAGGCTAATTTTTCATTGTACATATTATTATTTTATAAAATTGATTATTACAAAACTTACAGTTGTCGTTTACCATTACAATATTTAACTGACAAGATCATATTTTTAATTGTTATAAATAACAGATTAGGGGATATTATTTATATCGCAGTGAAGAAATTAATAACTTAATAAAAAAAACATCGTTAGTTATTCAATTAGTCTTAGCAAGAG